GATTTGAGAGACAGATCTATACAAACAAATGCTGCACTTAGTAAAGCTAAATTATTCAGTCAAGATAACATTCATGTGTAGTGTGTATATCATTAAATTTTACGATTTAATGCGTATCGTCCATGTAGTTTTTCTGGGTTTCTTTATGGCTCTTCTCAATATTCTATTTCAGATACAAATCTCTTGTTGACTTATTATACTTCCTTGAAGCTGCAACATGAAATCACGTCACTATTTCCTTTGTATGTCGCCTTCAAATACTTAAATTTAATTTTCTCTCTGAGGTCACTTGTCCTGGAATACATCTCAATTTAATAACAGCTCCAATACCAGTCTGCAATTTTATGAGGTCTGGACTCTTGAGATCCTTATTGTTTCATGTTTTCCATCAGGAAAAAAGAAATCATTCAGAATGAGCATCTCCAAAAGTCACACTGGGGGAAAAGACAACCCACTGATGCAGTACGTGCTTAATCATTCGCTGAGGGAACATCCGGTTCTGAAAAACCTCCGGCTGGTCAGTATTGGAGTACTGCTTTTGTGAATTCTGTGTGGTCAGATATGATCAGGTTTCAGGAAATTGTATGTGATCAGTTTCTGTTTGCTGGTTTAGAGGACGATGCAGGACTCCTGGAACATCATGATGGTTGCCTGTGAGCAGGCGCAGTTCATGGCCAATTTGGCTAAACTAATTCAAGCCAAAAAGGCACTGGAGATTGGTAAGTAGGCATCCAAGTTAGTTTCACTTTCTTTTGCCTTGATGACAAACTGAGGTTAAAAAGCATGTATTACCACAATGCAAGATGTGTGGAAAACTGTTACTGGATTTCTTATGGCTTTTGTACAAAAGGCCAGATCACTTCACAATACAAAGTTGTTGTTTTTTTAAAAAGACCTTAAAAAGATGCATTTTTTACAACAGTCACTCCTAAGTCAAAGTGCTTTCTATTAGTACAAGAATAAAAGATATGACAATAGTAACAGACTAGAATAAATACCATTTAAAAACATATTTATATAGTGCTGCTATGTGCTAAAAGCAACTCTACACAAATGTGTTTTAGCTTAGATTTAAACAGGAATAGATCATTAACAGTAAACTGTTTAAAGGCCATGAATTTCCCAGGTATGGACCAACTTTTGCGAATAAATGGTTACCACACTGTTTGAACTTTGACCCAGGGAAGATGTTGGTCAATAGCTAGAAGAGCTCCGAGTAATGTCTGTAAAAGGTCACATAAATAAAAAGATGCAACTTTAAAATACACTAGAAGCCAGTGAGAAATGATGTGACTGTGCCTTCAAGTATTTATCAGCAGGCCAAGGAATCCTGGTTTTAGGCCTGCTGTAAACTAATATTTTAGTAATTGAGTAATCTATTGATTATTCTTACGATTAATCTAGTAATTGAATTTTTAAAAAAAGATGAAATAAAACATTAGTAAATCTAACATAACAGCAGTATTACTATCGCATATCAACATCAGTCCAATTTTTTCACAGTCATGCATCCCTAACAATAATTTTTCAGTAGTTTTAGAAAATCAACTCGTAACAATAGCAGCTCACTTTCCAAGTTATACAAAAATCGGAAATTATAGTCAATTCAATAATACAGAGGCAGACTCACATTTACACTTATAAAAATGTCTATGCTCCAGCTTTTGGTTTATGTATTTGACTTCAGTCAGTTTCATAGCTGAACTCTGACCTTGTCCAGACATTTATAGATTTTGTGTTTATGTTAGTGGCGGGATTTAATCAATCAATCAAATTTTATTTGTATAGCACATTTCAGCAGCAAGGCATTTCAAAGTGCTTTACATCATAAACACAAAAACACAAAGTCATGCATCATGGAATAAACAATACATTGTTACATATTACATTTCAAATACAGTTATAAACAGGTGTGTTTTTAGTTGAGATTTAAAGGAAATCAGTTTACAGTTTTCTGGAAGTTTGTTCCAAATTTTTGGTGCAAAAATGTCTGTGTGCGACACCTTCGTTCGTCACACACAGAAACCTACCAGCTACGTGCCGCCATGATGAGCTCTGCTACCCATTTGTTGAAACCAGGATGACGTGAAATAAATTTTCTGCTTCGTCCATAAAGCTACCCTTAGGTTAATTATCTAATGCGCAGCCGCCCACCGTCTTCAGTCTATCCACTCACCTCTATAAATACACCTGCAGCCCTCTTCCCCACTGTTCGCTCTGAACCGGGAGGAGAAAAGACTACCATACTCCAGGCATCACACCAATAAGCCTTTTAAGGTGCTTATTGGTCCCCCGAAAAATGACAAAGATCCAGATATTGTCATCAATCAATAAAATGCCCCCAGGCCGAACTTGAAAACTGGACATTATGCTGTTAACACTTAGCTTTCGTCAAGCGGTGGGCAACGCAAGTAATGAAATATAATTTAACAAAGCTTCGAGGCAGATAAACTTTCCTCAAGAAATTTTAATACTTGAGCTACTCTAATCACTCGAGGAATCGTTTCAGCTCTACCTGGTTTACGCCAACATAAAATTTATGACAATAATCGATATGGGAGCCAATGAAACATCCATAGCCTTTTCAAGGTCACTTTGACTCAGAAGGGGTTTAACTTTAGCCAGAAGTCAACTAAAGTTAAATCTAGGTAAAGTCAGAAGTCACCAGTTTTCCAGACATTTAAGAATCTTCCTCTGGTATTTGTGTGTTAACATTCAGTTTTAAATCTTTAGAAAGAATGGGCCACAAATCAACACAAAGTTGAGTCAAATTGGTCTGAAACAGTACCCCCCTCTCGTTCTTATGTAATCTGTTCTTTCATCCTTCCACTCTGATGCTGCCGCCTGCACACATTTCAAAAGCCGATTAAAAGCCTGTTTGGATGCATCTGCTGCCAGGAAATCAGCTTTCTCCAGGAGAAGTGTGGCTGCTGAATTTGGGTCACAGGTCACCGCCTGCTGTGACATACCTCTGCAGACAGTGACCCTGATGACTGAGCTTGGTAGCCGAGAAAGAGATAAGACTTTTGAAATATGTTTTGACCAAATCAGTCAAGCCTTATTTCTTAAGTGCATCTTTATTTATTTTTTAAAAATACATGAAAAGGATTGTTAGTATTTTACCACGAGCCTATTAAGGGATTGCAGAAAATACTGCAGTCTACCCTTTAACTTTACAATTGTGCTCTACTTTGTGTTAGTCTGTCATATATCATCCCAATAAAATACCCCAAAGTTTGGCTTTATTCTCAAACTTTATTAATGTTATCAGGTTGTGGAAACTACTGACTGTGAAGCCACAAAGTTGTTTACTTACTTCTAAAGATTTTACTCTTTGTGTTATCATATTTCAATGTTATAACCCTAACCGTAACCATGTATTCACAGGAGTATACACAGGCTACAACACTCTGAATATGGCGCTGTCCTTACCTGAGGATGGAGTTGTGGTAGCATGTGACATCAGTGAAGAATACACGAATATCGGCAAACCGTTCTGGAAAGAAGTACAGTAACCATCTATTCTCTTGACTGAAATACAGCAAGTGGCATTCTGGACTTATTCAACTGTATATGCTTTGTTTTTATATTATATGTTGCAAAACGTCTGTAATTGTGTCGACATTCTCAATATTCTTCTATGAGAAAACATGATCCAGTTTGTTGCGATGTTCTGTTGGAATCAAGCAGTGAACTGAACCAAAGTGTATTGATTTTCTCTATTAATGTTTGTATTTTTGCTTATAGGCTGGAGTTGAACATAAAATTGATCTCCGCATTCAACCAGCACTGCAAACTCTCGGTACAGTGCTTCGTCTTTGATAACAGGAATTTGACAGGAATTGTACTTCAGATGTTGGGAAAGTGACTGGGAAGTATTCGTTTCATAGAAACAAAAAGTCCTCATGTCATTTATTACTTTTTGTTTGTTTGTTCAACATGCAAATATGCTTAAAACTCAGAAAAGCTCATCTGGGTTGTAAGGAGCAACTAATCAGAAACGCAACCCGTTACAAATGTGGTTTAGTGCAAGTTTGAGTCTATGAATTTGAATATCTTCGAAAAAGATCAAATAAACTTCAAAATGTTATTCCCATGTAGGATCTCATAGGAGCACTAGGTATACTCTGACTGTTTAACTTAGTTTCAAATGCATTGATACCTAAAAATTGACATGAGTAACAATGGCTAAACTGGCTTTGAATAGAAGATTTTCAGTCATGAGTAAGAACAAAATCTTAAATTCCTCTAAATATGAGAACAAAAGCTTGGCTTTGTCACAGCCAGAGATTATGCAACAGAAACAATACAGTTTCTATACTGTGTCTAGTGAGATAACTCCCAACAGTAAGGAGTGAAAGACTTACTACCTAAACATACACACATTTTCACTAATGTTTGTGTTTTTCTTTAACAGATGAACTCCTATCTTCTGGACAGGCCGAAACGTTTGACTTTGTCTTTATTGACGCAGACAAAGTTAATTATGACAATTACTACGAAAAGTCTCTGCTACTGTTGAGGAAAGGCGGCATCATCGCTATCGACAATGTGAGAGCTGCACTGAAAACAGGAGCCTTCTTTTTCCATTTATAATGTGTAATAATACATGTTTGTGGTGTCTTCAGGTGCTGTGGGGTGGGAGGGTGCTGAATCCGTCTCCCAATGATGCCGACACGGTTGCGATTGACAAGCTGAACAAGAAGCTCCACAGAGACATCCGGGTCACTTTGAGCATGCTCACAGTGGGAGACGGCCTGACGCTGGCAATGAAACTGTAGATTTTCATGTCTTTGAAACCATTGTGAGCGCTAATCTGGATAATGTTAAAGTCACATGCTGTATGAATGATATGATTGGTTAATTTTTTGGAGTTCCTGCCTAAACAGAACTTCCACATTGATCTTTATGCCCATTAATCCAATGAATCTGATTAAAGTGAAACATTCCTTTTGAATTACACCAAGTTGCCTTTTGAAATAAAATTCAGTGGAGAACAGTCTGATTTCAAGGTTTTATTTTGCAGGTAGACACACGCCAACATACAGACTGCTCTTTTAGCGTCGTCTCTAAAACGGAAGAGAACTTGATTTTGATTCAATGAGGAAAACTTTTGCATTGCCACGCAACTAAAGGCAAACTAAAAAAATGTGACGCCACAATGAAAGGTTCTACTGGAAATAAGTGAGGAGCAGCAAAATTCCACCAGGCAGTACAACTCTACCAAAATATGCAGAGATAATAGGACCAAGAGCTTAAATAAAAGTTATATATTCTACTGTGCAAAATATCAGTTGTACATTCTACATAATCACATTGCAGCAGAATATTAAGGTTCTGAAACCACTTTTGGATTGTCAAACTAAACAAGCTGGGGCATTTCTCTGTTGTGTGGGATAAATTGGCATAAGGGGAAAGTAGCTGATAAATAAATACATGTGGCTGAATCACAATTACAGGAGGTTGGTGGAAATGCTCGTTTCCATCTGATAGGTGCCTGTGTCTTGGGACTCTACTTTGTTTGGCCTCGTCGTTAAAATATCCGTCGCTGAGCGCACAGAATCTGCTGATATTCTTCTGAAACTGTGAAGCGGTTCTTTACGCCTCCAGCTCCAGGCCTAGACCAACCTTGTGACCACCAGCATTGATGTTCTTCCCATCCACTAATGCCGAGAGGTTTAGCTTCATACCTGCACAAAGGTTTGAAAGTTGAATGCTATTCAGTTTTTAAGATTTCTCAACTCTCTTGCTTTGAGATGGTTCTTACCAGGCCGCAGGGTCTGGGTGTATCCAACTCCTACCAAGCTGGAATTATTCACCTTAGCCTGAAGGAAAAGCACAAATTTTCTTGATTTCAAAAAGGTGAAATCCAGATCAAAGACTGGTGCATCTCACTACATTAGATTATTGAGAAATTTATTTAGGCTAATTGGTGCTATGGATGGCTTCCAGCTACAAAAACACTCATTTGGTCTGACAAAATTTAGAATATTACACAAGAATTGAGTATTATTTTTGATTGAGAAATGTTATGTTCTACTCTTATCATGGAGAAACTGCTGACTTGGCAGTCATAAACAACCTCCACAAGGAAGGTAACCATAGCAGGTTGTTCAGAGTACTGCATCCTCAAATTTAAAAGGGACAATCACAGCTTTAAGAAGCTTGTTCAGCAAACCCTCGTTGAAGAAATTCACAAGTTGGTGCCTCAGATGCGACAGGACAGTTTGCATATGTGGCACATGTTTACAGATTACATTAAGTGATAATGTAGGAAGCCTCAATTTCTCAGGACTGCAGTTATTCCTGTTACTTGCTGCCATGTTTTTCTTCCTCTAAGCTTTCCATTAACATGCTTGGATACAACATTCTGAAAAGGCAAGTTTTTTGGGGTTTTTTTTTTTTTGCAATATCCACAAGATTTGTTTTATAAAATCATAATATAATTTTTTCTCAATAAGCTTCAGATAAGCTACAAATTTAATCGTGTTAAGGAATCAAAGATATATTATCACTGCTAAATGAGTGTAGGCAATTTCAAACTCACAAGCTACTTGAACTGCTTTAAATATTAGCCAACTCTTCAAATACATGTAGTGATACTCTCAGAGCGGGTAACACATTTAGCTGCATTTGTTTATTGTGGTAGCAATTTTTTTAAAGAAGGGGATCAGGATGTTCTGGAAGAACCAATTAGAAACTACAACTAATGTGTTTTTGCCAAAGCAGAAAATTTAACCATTTGGAACTTTTTTAATAATCCCATGTTGTTGGGATAGAAATATTTTTTTTCCCCCAGAAGTTGGACTGACGTCTCATTATCTGGGATCTATGTCCAAACTGAATCATCATAATTAACATATACACATTTTACTTTTTTAACTGAAATAAATGAACTTTTCAACAATATTTGAATTTAAGATCTACAGGCAAAGCTGCACTTACTGATACAGAGGCACTAGAGTCTAACTGGTATTTAGCAGCAATTCCGAAGCGAGTGCCATTGCTGCCAGCGGACCAGGCGATGTTCACGGCCGTCTCCAGGTCCTTGTTTACCTTCTGATAGATCGATCCACCAAACTCCGAACCATCATTTCTGTGGGGGGGGGGAAGAAAGGATGAGCACAACACTTGAAAGTTAAAAACTTTTAAATATCTACACCTAAAACAAAATCAAGATGTTAACATAATATTTGTGAATGTTATTCATTTTGAGACCTACATATTGGTGTGAAGCTGGAAGTCCCCTGTCTTGTATCCAATAGCGAAGTTGCTCTGAGCCATCTTAGATTTAGCAGAGTCAAAGGTCATCTGGTAGCCACCAAGCCAACCCTCGTATCCAACCACCGCCGCTGCATGGATAGTTGGACCGGCAAAGTCTAAGTCCACATCGACTCCAGCGTTGACGTATTCCCGTTTATATGTTATCTTGATTTTACCGCTCTTCTTCCTGTGGCAATACGACAGAAGATGAACACTGAGAATACACACAGGAAAAAACTCCACTTAATAAGATGCAATTGAAATCCAACTTGCCCAGTGTTGGGTGAAAACGTGTTTTCAAATTGAAGTTTCAGTCCCTTGGTGATCTGTTAAAAGGAAGAATCTGCTATAAGTCATTTCAAACCTTTTCAAAGTGGTGACAGAATCACAAGAGGAGCAAATTTTTCTCCGTTTACCTTATCCTCAACACAGATTTCTGTCCCCAGAGTGTTTTCCGTGGTCCACTTCTCTGTAAAGGTCAGCCCATACTCAGCCAACTTATACTTGGTTTCCAGAGTGCCAGTGACCTTGCTGGTGTCTATGTTTGAGGTGCCAGATGTTTTAAATTCCTGAAAGGAACATAAAAGAAATGTATAAAAAGCTGAAGACAATATAGATTGGAAAGTTTCTTTATCTTTCAATGCTGGTAGATATGAGGCCAGCCCTGATGGCAGTTATTTCAGAAACTACTAAATATTTTTTTTAAAAGGAGCATAATCAAAAGAACAAATGTTTCTGGCACCTTGATGAATCAATCTACGGAGAAGAGGAGCTGATTGGTACCTGCAAGTCTACCGAATAAAGTGGACACTCAGCATAATTTCACAAAAACTTAAAAAAAAAAAAAAATTATGCATCGAGGAAAATAGTTCTAAACCTACAGTGCAACAGTACGTAGAACCCCTAACAAATCCTATAAAATACATTTTGCTTTTCTTTTTAAGGACATCAAAGTTTTCAGAACTTTCTAATTCATAATCCACAACTTCCTGTTTCTCTTTGTTGTAAATGACAAACAAATCTTGCCATAGCCACAAGACTGGACAAGAACCTATGTTGGGAGTTCATCTTACCACTCCATTTGAAGACGTGGTCTTCACATCAAGCTTAATCGTTCCAAAACCTGTAGAGACAGAGACAGTGAGCAGCTGCATCCAGCGCACACCTCCTGAAAAGACTCATCTTGTTTCTAGTTACCATATCCTTTGTTGAAGATATCCTTTGCTAATTTCCCAAGGTCGGTATATGCTGGAGGAACTGCCATTATGTCTATTGAAAAAAGGTTTCAGAAGAGACAGGTTAGGAAAATAGTAAATAATCTGTGAAACTGCATATATGGGTTACCAAATATAGAAACGTATCATTCAAGACTTGTCCCTTTTAAACAATATCTAAAACAAACCTTTTATGGACAGCATTTTTGTCATGATACAAGCACAAACTTTAATTTTATTGAGACTTTAAGGATAGGCCATCACTATGTAGTGGATAAAAGTGAAATGAAATAATGAATTGTAATCAAACTACAGCCAGAATTACTTTCCATAGCCCTGGCTGTGGTTAGGATCGTCATCCTACTGGAAGGTGAACTTCTACGCTAGCGTCAACTCTTTTGCACCTCTGTAAAGTTTTCTCTCAGGTCCTTGTATTAAGCGCCATCTTTATGATCGCATTTTCTGATCCTGTTGAAGATTGGTAGCTTCACAGAATAATATTGCCGCCAGCATGTATCACTGTACACATGGTGTCTCCAGGATGAAAAAGGCCATATTTGTCAAGAGTGTGGCCAATAGCTGTCCTGTCAATATATTTTCCCACCTAAGCCATGGATTTCTGCAGCTCCTCCATAGATGCTTCTCTGACTAACATAGTCCCCACTCTGCTTGTCAGGTTAAGTGGATGGCCATGTCCTTAGACAACTGCAGGTATCCAGTAATTCACAATTCTGCAATACCTAATGTTAGCCTATCACATAAAATCCCAATAAAACACAGGGATGTTTGTGTGTGTCTAAAAAGAACGTAAAGGCACAAAACGCCAACAATATTAACAGACTAGATATCACTCATCATTTCTAATTAAATTTAAATGCATACAGGATGAATGATTATACAAGCTTCTTTTCTACATAAATCATCTGAATAGTTTGAATAAAAGTGGGCTGACGGTACAGCTCGGGGCACCTATTGACTAAGTTAAATAGTCAAGGTTAAACCGAAAGGCTCCAGCTTCCTTCCCACAGCCTGTTGCCATAAATACGAAGTCACACCTTGTCCTCATGTTGCTAATGTGCTACTTTCTGAACAGTAGATGTCAAATTTCAGCTAACATTTTACGACAGGAAGAGCAACTGATTATCATGTTGCACTGAAGTGATGTATATGGACAAATAATTTCAATTTAATTCAATAGGAATGGTTTTATTCGGAGTATTTTTGTTCATTTTCGACGTGAATCAAGCTAGCTTTCGCTCATGATGATCCGCAGCCTGAGTCTGTCGTTCCCACTGTTATGAAGGAGTTTCGGAAAGTGAGCCAGGGGGGCGTTTTACGGCTTTCGAATTAGGTAACCGGTCCTTAACAAGCTTTTATGTAAGCAAAACACGAAACAATGAACGCACAGGAGCGAACTACTTACCAAGAATAACGGCTACTCGGTCTACCGGTGAGATTAGCAAAGGTTGGAGGCAGCCGGTGTAAGGACGATATGGAGGAGATACTGCATAGACACCCTGTTGACCTCGGCACCGAAGGACCCCAGAATAAAGCTGTTTAATTAGCGCCTGATGAAAATCAGACGGCGATGGACACGTTGTTGCTCTTTATCTAGGTAATTTAGAAATCTATTTCACGAATTACTCAACATAAAATGTAAACGATTTGATCTTTGTATGACGAATTTTTATTTGGAGGACACAGGCAGTAGAAAGATATCTACGTCACCATGGTAACTAATATATACTAATACGTAGCCATAAAGCTAATGTGATGAATCACAATTTTAGCTTGATTTTAGAAAATACAAATGTCCATATATATATATATTATTTTATTTTGTTTTGCGTTAGGTCTTTCCGAAAATGTTTGTGTTCAATTTTACAACAGTTGGAATTAAATTCAAAGTGCCATATAAGATAAATATGGCATTTTAAATAAGCGTTTAACCGATTTATCATGGGGAATAATAGTTGATGACGGATGAATCACTCCTAAAAAGGTTATCTTTTTCTCTCGCCAATAATTAACCGTGTTAACCTACAATAAAACTATAATATCCAGCTGGATCAACTTATTTATTCTGAAGACTTCAGCAAATCACCCCTAGAATTAATTTATCTATTAAAAAAAAGAGTCATCTTGTGTGAAATTTTGAGTATAAATATTGTTGTTCTGTGAAGGTTTCAGAGGTTTGTTTGCAATTATCATCAAAGCCAAGGAAAACACTAGGAAGGTCAGGGATACAAATCTGGAGACATTCAAGTTTTGAATATCTAAAAATTCCATTACCTAAAAATGGAAAGTGTATGACAACTGCAAACCTGCAGCCATCCAGGTGAGGACCGCTTTAATCCAAGCAGGTCAGAGGGCCGTGGTAACGCTGGAGGAGCTGTAGCAGCTCACAGCCCAGGTGAGAATCTATTGATTGAAGAACTCCACAAATTTTATATTTAGAGTGGTGATAGAGCAATTGTATCAAAGAACCCTGATTTAAAATTGACAAAAATGTAATAAAGACTGGCAAAATATGAGAAAAGAGGTGGAAATATGGCAGACAACTTGCACTACACATCACCTTCAATTAGTCAGAATTGAAAATCGCTGTTAACATCCTCTTAACTTTAAGGCATGAAGTCATGCTAAAATGTATTTTCTTGCACAATAGAGAAAGACAAAAAAGTTTTTTTTATCCAGTTCTTTAATGAAAGAAATGACTGACCAAAATAAGCGATGAGGCGCTGAACACATCAACCTTTCTGAATGAAAGAATATTTTGGATTGTTCTATACATCATGTTTCAGATAATCTGCAATGACAACATTCTCTCCATGAAAGAGCACAAATCAAAGTCTACACTTAACACTCTGTATTTCAAACATACAATTCAACATAACTGTAAACATTTCTTTCAATGTACATGATTCTGCAACTGTGGAGGGGAAGTATAAAAATATCTATTGATGTTTAGAAAATAAATATACACACATACCGTAACATCTCTCTCAGGGGTTAGTTTTGTAGTGATTAAAGACAAAGGTATAATATCAGAAAGCGCACAAAAACTGGTCTTAGACTTGTAATTTTATAGTGCATGGAGATTTCTTCCATCTAAAATTACACCGATATGCAACATGAAATCTGAAAACATTTTGATGGAGTGAAATCTCTTAATTGGCAAGGAAATACTTAAGACATATTGTAGAGACAGCAGAAAAGTTTTCTTCCCAAGGATTTGGCTGATGACATTTTTTAATAAATTAGACCTTGTTAAATAGTGAAATAAAATATGATCTCAGGAAACAGATATTGATAATTTCCATGCCTAAAGATCACAAATGTCAACTAACAGCATGACTTGTGTCAGAAGCTACAAAATATGTAATTCTTACTACATGAAAAGATTTCCCTCTTGCTGTAACTTCACTGTGTTCTTTTAAACAACACGACTGAGCTTACAGTAGACCTTGCCTAATTCACCTAAAAAATTGTTGCCATCACGAAGCAAATTAGAGGTGGTCTCCAAAACTAACAGAAGGTTTGGCTCTGAGCATCACATCGGGCGTCTTTGTCAAGGATGTCACAGTTGGCAACTTCACAAAACGTGACTAAAAAAACCCAGGGGTGTCGCAGTTTGTTATCCAATCAGCCGCTTCATTATGGCAGGTCTGGAGAAGGGCCAGCAGTACTCGTTGGGGACGGGCCCGTTGACGTTGCACTCAAAGAAGGAGAACATGGGGAACCAGATGCGGGCTCGCCGACTCTGCTGGTACGCCCGGGTGTTGGCCAGAGTGTGGTAGTACAGGAAGAGTCTGGTAGTGATATAGAAGGCAATGAACACATCAATGGAGTAGTGTTCATGGGCAGCCAGGATGAAGAAGATCCCAAAGAGGTTGAGGACCCAAGACAAGGTGTGAATGAAGTTCCAGCTTCGTGGAGTGTCTGAGCGAATGAAAAGAAGAACGTATTTGTTAATATTACCCATAAATGCTTCACGTCGGAGGTGAAATTGTCAAAAAAAAAACAAAAGAATTCCATTTTAATCTACTCCCAGTAGATATTTTGTAGAGACACAATTAACTATATCTGGAAAAACTTTTCAGATTTTTCTTTACAAAATAGATAAAGTTCAATCAAACATTTTCAGATTCTCTATTGGACTTTTGTCTGGACTTTGACTGGGCCATTGTAACATGAATTTGCTTTGATGTAAACCATTAAATTTAAGCTCTCGCTGTATTTTTAGAGTTGTAGTCCTCTTGTAAGGTTAACTTATTCATCAATCCATTAAATTTTATGTATACATTTAACTAATTTTATTTTAAATATTATACTGCAAATGTTCTTGTAATATAGTGATTATAATTTTAGAACCTCTAATCCCTGCAATTCTAAATGGCTGAGGTTCTGTGATGTTGTGGGACTCTCTCTTCCTAAGTCCCTGTGACCTTTAGAGTGCATGACATCACCAACTCAATAACATTAAGAGACTTTTAATTAAAACTGGTCAAGGATGAAACTTTTTTTACCCAAAACAGGTCATAATCAGGTCCATTCAGCAGGATAACAATCCAAAACAACAAGATCAATTTATTTTCAGATGAGATTTTGTCACTAAAATAAAAATAAATCCATTTTGCTACTTTTCACACATTTTCTTTTACTAGGGGTGCCAACAATTGTACGTGAAATATATTTTGTTTTACTCACACTCAGTGACAAAGAAGTTGAGCATTGTGAGGACGACAGTATGGCCACTGAACATGTAGTCCCCACATGTATGCACACCAGTCAGGCTCATTCCAAAACCACTCCAGATGGCCACGGCCCGCTGCAGTTTGGCCCACATGTCGCCATAAATCTACAATGACGGAGGAAGTGAGACCATTAAATATTGTTGTATGTAAGACAGCACGAAAATGGATGGAAAATTGAACTAGTTTACCTTTCCTGTGCACTGCAGATGTTGCCCAGGCACAGACAGGGAGGTGACAAACATGGTTACACACCGCAGCATAAAAACTGTCCCCATCAGGCTACACATGCGTCGCAAAAGGATGGACCTGCAAGTCGACGCAAACAGGGAACTGAGCTCTCATCCAATGTCAAGCAATGTCCTTAAGTCTTTATTGTACTTTTCATCCAAACAAAGTGATTTAGTTATAAGGAAAACAGTAGACAATAAGATAACTGCAAAACAATCTATGAGTTAAACCAGGGTAAATGTGGGAGAAAAAAGTACAGAAATGTGTAACTTTCAACAGATAAATTTGAAGTATTGAACTATGTGTTGATGTTGAGATAGAAGACCGTAGAAGCAGAAACAAAAGACATACGGACTAAAATCCTGATAAAAGTGTTAAATCTCTCAAAAAAATTTTTTTGTTTGAATCACAATTAAAAAGACAACTAAATAAATAACTAGAAAAACTATTCAAAATCCATATTGAGCCAAACTAAAGAAGCTATAATCTCCACCTTCTGGAAACCTAAACTGTTCACTGATTGATTATATTACCTGTGTTTATGCAGCAACAGAACCAGCAGCCAGATGTTACAGAGAATCACCCCGCATGCCTCGGCCATAGCAAAGGCCCATGGTATTCTTGGCACGCTGTTGAAAAGTGTAAAATCATTTATTTTTTTAAACAAAACACAAAAAATATCTGACACGTCTTCAACAAAAAAATAGAACAGATGAGCCCGTGTTGTCGACATTCAGAATAACTTTAAAAAAGCTGAAAGCAGTATTTTATTACCAGCTGCCTACCAAAAAGACAGAACGTGCTTCTATTTTCCTTTAGCCACAAGCCCTGGCAAAGTGTTGACACCCCTTAACTTTTCCATCACTACCACAAATTTGAATAAACTCTGTGAGCTGGACCAGCACAGATTAAAGCATACTGGAAATGTTTGCAAAACAAATCTAAAAGTATTTTATGCTGATTTAGTTTCATTTTTTGTTCAATCTATCACTGGGTACTTGTGTGAGACTTATTCAGCTGTTGGAACATATTCGTTGATTTTAAGGCTTTGAGCAGAAAACAAAAACATTTAAACACAAAATGAAGAAATTATGGTGTTTCAAAACTGAACACGACAGAAAACATTTACTTTCAAGTATTCTTCTCTAAGCTGCTCATTAAGAAGAAAATCATGGGACTAAATTGGGGAAATAACTGACGTCAGCATGTTTTATTTCCCCAAACGCATCCTGAAGCAGCTCCCTGAAATCAGCTGATCAGGCGGAGCATTTTCATAAAAGTTCAAAGCCGCTTTTTAACAGTAGATCACACCTCAAACTAGGTCAGTTTAAAAACTCTCCATGATCTCTTGGAAGCCGAGTTTCCTCTTCAGGAGTTTGTGAGGACAACAATAGACAGAAGACTGCAGTAGTAACATCAAATTCACCCACTCAGCCACACTTCACAACTGATTATTTCTTTATGTCATAAATCAGGATTGGTGAGCACTAACCTGTCGAGGAAAATGTCAGGCAGTGGTGGGTAGGTGCGCATGTCAGGCACCCTTTCGTGTACTATGACCATGACGAAGGACGTGAACCCGAACACAAACACCACGTAGACGGAGCTGAGCACCGTCTTCCAGTATTCAGGATCCAGCCGCCTCATCTGCTGCTTGTATTTCCCGTTGGTGTACTGCTGGTACTCCTCCCCCACCGGAGCCGTGTTGGTGCTGTCACAGTCTCTGCCAGGGTCTCCATTGCACAACCATTCCAAGTTGCTCCCAGAGCTCGACGGAGAGAGGCCGTCGAAGGGGACGCCCAACTCTTCCAGCAAGTCCATGTTCTGTTTCTGCAGCTTGCGGATGGACATCATCAGCCTCTTGATGTCGCCCAGCACCTTGAGCTCCAGAGGCGGTGAGCGCAGGTCGTACTCGCTGAGGGCAAGCAGGCTGGTGCCATCCAGCCGGTGTTTGTTGCACAGCAGGTCCACGTACTCGCAGAAGCCTTCTTCCTTTAGCCACCTGGCTACGTGTTTAGGCGCCCAGTGACGGACGCTAAGCTGGGTCATTTTCTTCTCACGCCGAAGGCTGAAACAATCAGACTTCAATGTGAACGCAAAGTATTTACTGTCTCTGCAACACCGAACAAGGCTAAGAAGCAAACTGATCAGGTTATTTATAATAAATAAATATCTTTAAGAACAGACCTGGAGATTATGAGTTTCTTTTTTTCTTAAAAGAAACAATATGCCATTTGAGTGAGATAGAAGTTTTTAAAATCCAACAGAAAAATGCAATGATTACATTCTTACTCACATTTTCGAATCAAAGTAGGACAGAAGCGATTAATCGCATTAATCATGATGAGTCAACTATGAAACTATTGAAAGGAAACGCTGAGTTCTTTTAAATAAAGACAAAAAATATTTGTTTAAAGTTACCTTTGATTAATAATAACACTGACAAATTCTAATCTGGATCACAACTTTTCATGACTTGTCTTTATTTTGCCACTGATACAATATTGTTTGTTTATTGCGTTATGTCTTCATCATGCAAAGCACGCTGAACTGCCTTGCTGTTGGAATGTGCTGTGCATATAAACTTGACCACATATTTCTCAGAGGAAATGGTAGAGGAAAAAAATAGTTAAATCATTTGGTAATCAAAACTTATGCCCACATAGATTAAATGACATGTTCTCTTTGTTAAATATATCAATAAAGTCAAATTACGCAATGCTTGGAATTTCCTATACTTCCACTTTTGAAGGGAAATTAGTCTCCAAGACTGTAAGGCAACCAGAGTAGAGAATAACCAAAATTAATAAAATTTGTGACAAAAGGTAAACAAGACTCTTTTAAAAAAATAAGTAAGAGTACCGCCAATACTTGGCTGGGAATGGTACAATCGGCTGGGCCCCTGAAAACAGATCTGTCATTTAAAACTGCATTTTTGTCCTATCGACAATCTAAACATACTCAGAATAAAATTAGTTCTCTTTTTTTAACCATTCATTTTAATGACATGTAATCCAGGGACAATTGCTGAAGTTCAAATTACCTTTAGACAACAACAAATTTTATGTCAACACTACTAAACAGGTGATGAAAGTTAATCATTGATTGCATATTCTTAAACTGCAGAATAATCATCAAAAGATTGCTTACATAGCTTCATTTTTAAATTAAGCCATTCATTAATAAGTTATACCAAAGTTCTGTATTTTTAGAGTACTGAGTCTCATCACTACCTATTTTGTCTATGTAGTTGTATGTACTGTATGAGGGAAATATCATATTCCTTTTCTTGGAAACAACACCCCCAACACATCAAATATGAGAAGATACTGAGACATCTTTTATTTGTTGAGTGACTACTTTCCGAAATCCTCCATTCACAGCAGCTCAAATCACTGGTAAGCAAACATGCTGAAGAGGAAGTCTAAGTCACCACTTCTGCAGCTCAGTTTTCATCCTGCAACTTGTATGGGTTGTACGCAAACACAATTTCTGTCTGACAAAAACGTGAAAACAAATCTAAGCATCGCCTGCGATCTACGTCTTAAAGGACATAGGTCCTAGCTTAATGGCGCTAACGGACGGTAGCTTTCACTCACCAGTTTGAGACGCACCTGAAGAAGACACGGAGCTTCTTTACTCAGCTAACTAACTAACCGGCATCTCTCGAAAACTAACCGACACCCTGTTAGCGGAGCATGGAGCAACACGAGCTGGGAGGAAATCATTTTGGCCAAGATTCGCGCTGACTAGCTTACTGTTGACAAGCCAGTGCGCTAATGTGGGGAATAGACGCGCACTTAAAAAAAAAAAGAAAGAGCTTTTGCTCAAGCTGATCAACACTGACATCTGGTGGTCAAAGTTGATACTGCTGATTAACACTGACACCAACTTTGACCACACGGTGGTCAAAGTTGATACTGCAGCGTTTTTCGGCATCAGCGTTTCTATGCCATACTGTAAAATTACAAGAAATGTTGTAATTTAATGATTGTTTTCTTAACTGTTGGAATAGTGTTCTGAGGTTTAAAAACTTTATCAAATCCAATAAGACTTATTGTCATTGTGGAAAGGGTTTTCTTTTCATGCAGGTAGCTAGAAATTAACTACTACTATTATTATAGAGCCTAATTTTAGAATATGTACTTCTTTGTTGGCCAGAAAAGCCTTCCAGTCAATTTGGATTTAAAACTATCTTCACTGTTGTATGACATTGGGCTAGGTGGATCCAGGGTTGTTTTTGAACATCTTAACCAGTTTTCTGTCCTGAGAGGTAGAGTAAAATTGCAACATTTGGTTTTATTTATTTATTTATTTGTTTGTTTGTTTGTTTCAAACAGGTTTTGAAATAAAAAAATAAAACAAACAATCAGTAGGATAGAGAAAATACGTGCATTCATAACTGAAAACAAAATAAGTAGTTCACCATTTCATCCTTTGTTTAATATTTAAATGTCATTTGTTTCCATATTTAGGATAAATATCTAGATTTGATGTATTATTTACTGAGTTCTTTGTTTGTTTCAAGTTTAGGTATTTTTTCTTTAACTAATAAATTCTTGTGCATGTATATAAAAAAATTATAAAATTAACAACAGTATTATAATTTATGTATTCTGTCGCTCATTTCTTTCTTTGTTTGTTTTTGTACTGCAAAAAAGTAAGTCAATCACAGTGGTCTAAACCTGACATTAAGAAAATAGGTCAGTGTTTTAATTTTAGAACAGAGCCACCTGTCTATGTCAGTACTAACATGGCTGTAGTAAAGCCTCAACAGTTTAGAAATACATTTTTCATCCTCAGGGAATCTAGAGAATAAATCATCTGAAGTGGTAGTTTTTGGAGTAGTATTTTAGTAGACATATATTTAATATTTTGAACACAGAATTTCTCAAAATGCAGGATAAAAGCAGTGCAGTTTCCTGTGTCACTGTCTCTCTAAAAGAACTGCAGAAGGTTTTGTATGGAGGTAAGAGATTTGGGAACCATGTGGATGAAGTTTGGCCAAGGCTCTACATTGGGGACATGTAAGTGTTAACTTCCACAATATTCGTTTCTCATCCGGTCCCGTGCCGAATATTATGGATGTTTGCTTTCTCCTCAGGTCAGTTGCTAACGACCGCTACAGACTGTGGAAGCTGGGAATTACTCATGTTGTGAATGCAGCTCATGGGAGGACATACAGTCAGGGAAGTCGTGACTTTTATGGAGCCACAGTGGAATATTATGGAGTCCCTGCTGATGACTCACCGAGTTTTGACCTTTCTCGCTATTTCTTGCCAACTGCTGAGTATATTCACGACTCACTCAACACGAATGGGGGTAAATACCTGTCAAGTTGCCTTAGTTTCATTATTTAAGAGAATAACAATAATGTCCTCCACTTTAATTTATTTTCTTCTACTGTAGCTCGGGTGTTAGTGCACTGTGCAGTTGGAGTGAGCAGGTCTGCCTCGCTGGTGTTGGCTTACCTCATAATCTACCATTCTTACACCCTGCTGGATGCCATCAATAAGGTCAAAGAGTGCAGGTGGATTTTCCCAAACAGTGGTTTTCTGAAGCAGCTGTGTGCTTTGGATCTGAAACTACAAAATACTCCTGCTAATGGGACTTAAGACATCGGTTTTCTTCAGGATGAGTGATGCTGTGCGTTTCTGCCTGCAGAGGTTGACACAAAGCTGGCCAGGGCCAGAAACAAACTAAGCTGCTGCAGGGCGCCTCCAGGCCAGCAGGGGTCCCCCAAGAACTCCTCAATTCTCATGCAGATGTTTGATATTTGTTTTTCGAGAGTGAACGTTCCTTGTCATTTGTCCTAATGATTTCAAAATAGGAAAGCTGGTAATCTATATTATTATTTTCATTTTAGAAATGTAATTCCTTTAAGATTAACATGTGTTTAAAAACTTGCAACTTGTCATCACACAACGGACAAACTTCAAGATTAGTTCAGTTGTAAATGAATCTAACAAGTAATTACAGGTTGTAATTTCTGCGACACACGACTAATTAAACCCGTTCCCTCTTGCTTGACTCCACTGAGTCTGCTTGAAACACAGAACAACAGAACAAATGTGTTGGTCAGTGAAATACTCTGCAGGATATGTCTGGCTTTCTGTCTGTTGTCATTTACACGGGCTTTCTGAAATGCAGACTACTGATGAGGTGAAAAGCTGTGCTGTCTGTTGTTTTCAAGTCAGTCACATCAGGGAGGAAGTGACTCAGGATCATCAATGCTCTTCACCTGAGTAGTGCAGAAAATGAAGCAACAAGAGGGAAATCAGAATTTGATCAACTCAAAAAAATGCAACCTCTTTACGAGGAGATGAGAGAGGCCTGCACCCGAAACTACCACCCTCTCCAGGAGACCGGCATTGATGAGAATGGTTGCCTCAAAAGCAAGGGTTATATTCAAGCAAAGATAGAGGGCAAGAATGTCTTCAGGGGCTTCAATTTTTTTCTTTCATACCTCCAGCTATGGATACACCTGGGACTTCTTTGTTTATGAGGAGAAAACAGTACTAGAAAATGACTCAGTCATGACTCTTTGACAAGGTTTATAAAAACATCATTGCTTGGCACAGGCTACAAATAGTTTGAGGACAATTTTTACACCAGTCCCATCCTTTTCCAAGATTTCCTATAGCAGAGGATCATGGTGTGCTACCTTAAGTAAAAAGGCAATGCCCTTACTCCTAGACCTCCTCAAGGCAGCATTTGTTGGCTTCACTTCAGCTCACTCCTTTGTCCAGTACATAGATACCTGCAATGTCTTCCTTTGCTCCATCATCTACACAACAGTGACACAGGAAAGTGAAGGACAGCAGTGGCCTCTGAACAAAGAACATTCCAATTCCTCTTTTCATCAAAGATTATCTAAGTTCTTTGACATACTCAGGTTCAAGGGAGGAGCAGAGGCAAATCAAGATCTCCACAAAATCCATAAGCGGCACAGAATATTTTTCTAGCACGTTTTGACGTTGCGGTAGTGAACGTCTTCCTTCTCTTCGAAAAGCTCTGCTCAGCTGACCATTCATGTGACGCTCTACCACGGGAATATCACAGACTTTTAATGAGGTCAGTAACATGAGCTCTAAACTATTGTGTTGTAGGAACATCTCAACCAGGGTCAGATCCATCAAGATATTCATTGATTCAAAAATATTTTATCACACTTTATACACACTTAACTCGCTTTATTTTCCTCAAAAGATTAAGATTTTAGTATTTGTGCTTCACTGAAGGGGGTAGATTTTATGTTGAATGGGAAGTTTTTGCTGAATTGTTGCTTTATTACCTAAAGGTAGTGAATTTGTGTGATGGTGACCATCATTAAGCAACTTCTCTAGTTCCAGCCACAGTCTTTGAATGTAGCTCATTATGATTTAAGAAATCTGACTATTCAGCAATTACCAAGAAAAACATTTGAGTTGTCACGTTTTTGCTGGTTTTCACCAAATAAGTTAGGCTTTCATAATGCTGTCAGCAGATGGTGGTATAGGCTTTAATAAGCTTAGCTGTGACAGAAAACCAAAGTTCATCAAGAAAGAAAACTAGAAATTTTGTTACTTTAGTTTAAAGATTGTGCATCTAATGGGATAATAATGGCTATACAGAGACTATTTGTTGCAAATTGAGCCAAAAAATAAACAACCCAACAAAAGGTTGTATCTATTGTGCTTTATGAATAATAAATCACAAGAATTTACCTGTGTAATTTCTCATTATTTCCTACCACTCTAAAGAAAAAAAAAGCTATTTCAAAGTGTTCCTTAAAAATTTGACCACTTTTTAAAAAATGTTTTGAATGACAGAATAAACTTCAGTCATCATTCACAAACAACGTTCGTGGATTGTTTTGGTTTATTATTTCAAACCCCTTAAATGTCAGATTTAGTTAATAAAATATAAATTTCTTTACCATTCAAGTTCAACGTTATGAAAAAACGTGTAATTGAACTCAGGACAGTTACATTTTAGTAAAGTTGGCCTAAAAAACAAAACACAAAACGGATGGTAATGTCGAATAGTTATCTCATTCTGGTTTTTACTCTTTGGTAGTCTACCTAGAACTGTTACCATCTGTCAGAACAACAACAACAAAACTGAAGCAGAAATTTTCTCCTTAAGGTCTGTAAATCTCATTGCTAATAATTTATTTATGAGAAATCCTGTTTTTTGCAGCTCAGGTTCTAAGAAACACAATTTACAAAACACATTTGGACATCGATTAATTGCATATATTCTACATTAGTGGTGGGAACTGTCACATAAATATGAAACAAAAGCCTGCCTTTAAATAATCCATCGATTACCTTCAGGTCAAAAATTACCCACAAAGATTTTTTGACCAGCACTCGCACTGAACACGTTCCATCAACATTTATGATCCAACAAGAGAAAAATTTGTGATGAAATAAAGTTTTCTTTTACTCTCTCTGACAGCTAGAATGAGTTCAACCTGCAACCTGATAAGGGTGAAACATGACAAGCATGTGTTTCACTCTTTTAAACCCAATTTGCTGCGATGTTTGCACGGCAGCATTTAACACATGACGCAAAGTGATTCTGTTCAATAAATGCTGAGTTACATCCAATATAAGCAGTGCTCTTTAACAGTTTGACCATAATTATGCCCAATTATCACTGCTTTATAGAATGATTCATCACTGAGCGAGGCTGATTAAATTAAAGTCCCATGGCGGTGTGTGAAAAGCAGAGTCCCTGCTGCAGAGTGTGTTGCTCTGCCCTCTGCATGGGTAAGACTACACGCTAGGTTAAGCACCAAATTGGGTAACTGTCCAGCGACAGCACCTGCTGGAAATGATCATCCCAATCTGGACAGAGACTGGGACTGCTTTGATAACAACAAACACTTTGGCCGGCAATCGATCCAAGACAGGACTTTTGGACTTATAATGACGACTGTGAAAGACAAGGCAAAAGAATATCCAACTGTGAAGGACCTGCAGAAGGTTCTGGATGCTTGTAAGCTGCACCTCAACCAAATTGATGAAGTATGGCCAAATATATACATAGGAAACGTGTAAGTAGTATTTAATTACATTTTTATAGGATGGAACTGCATGTACAGAGGTTCATTTAGAAAATTTGATTATCATAAACATTCGTTTCAGTAAGTATTTATTTTCACTTATGTTGATGATTCTACTTTAAAGCTAACAAAAATGGACAATTATGTCTCAAATATTAGAATAATGCATAATTCCAATAAAATAAAGTCATTCAAAAATGTTATGCCCAACATGATGATGAGGAAGATTGCTGACTTGATAATTGTCCAGCAGACGTTCGCTGACAAAACCCACAATGAGGGCAAACCACAGTCCAATGTGTTCGGGCATATCAATGGAAAGTTGACTGGAAGGTAGAAAAGGGCCACTGCAACCTTAGGATGATAAAGTGAAGGATATTCAAAGTTTTGGGGGAAATATCAATGTTGTATCAAGGTGTGGAGTTGCAATTGTTGCCTTCCTTACTTGAAGAAAAAGGCTGGAGTATAAAGTCCTCGTTTCAGATGAAAGTACATTTTTCATTTCATTTGAAATTCAAGATCCCTCATTCTGGGGGTGTGGTGGGGAAATAGTGAGATCCAGTGTGAAGTTTCCACTGTCAGTCCCTTTGTGTTAAAAGTCAATCCTTTTATATGTCACCACATACTAGCTCTCCTAAATAAATGACTCAAACCAATCAACTGACCTTCTTTAGGTAAAAAAAAAAATGCATCAATTGGCATTATGAACAAAATTTTACTGCTTTGGAATATATTAAAATTAAATAGACTCTTATAAGATTAAACTGAGATGAATTTGTTGTGGATTGAGTATCTTTGTTCATTTCTTTCATATAGAAATAAATAAAGTGACTGAATTGATTAGTTGAGCCACGTTGTGCTAGTGTTGAGATCAAGTCTGTCAGTGCAGCCATCTAACAGGAAATCTTTGAGCACTTTATGCTTCACTCTGCTGACAAGCTTAATAGAGATGCTGATTTCATTTTCCAGCAGGACTTGGCAACTGCCCACACTCCTAAAAGTGCCAACATTTGATTTAGTGGCCATATAGTATCTCTGATCTCGACTGGTCAGCAAACTGGTCTGATCTGTATTCCACAGAAAAGCAGTGGAGTATTGTGAGGAGAAAAATGAGAGACTCTAAAACAAATGGAATAAAGTTGCCTATGGAGAATCTATGGCGTTTAGTTCAAGCGATTAAGTGCTGAGTATATATATTATATAGTATAGGTAGTTTTCAGTAAGCCATCATTTCTGCAATACGTATTTTTTTAATTAGTGCGATATTACATATTATTTATCTACCAAACAAAATTTTGGATTTTCATCAACTCTCGTACATAATCAGTCAACTGTACAAAGGACCAACTGTACATTTGATAAGACTCTTCAAATATCTAAGCACATGTGCAATACTTTCTGTGGCATTTTTCCTTCCACTCAATTTTCCATTAAAATCTTTAAAAACCACACTGTTTGTACAGCCAGTTTCTTTTTATTGCTCACCCTCCTTGTGAAGGGTGTCAGTGATTTCCCACTGGACACTTGTCAACTCCTCCTCACGACTTTGCATTTCATAGTCACAATGTCGCATTTCACTATCAAAAAATATTTTTTATGGGCCCTATGAGATATTCCTTTTTTATCAGAAGATGAACTTAAGGGTTTCATTAGCTGTTAACAGCATTATCAAAATTAACAGAAACAACCACTTGAAATATATCAATCCGTGTAATGTAGAGTACAATACGAAATTAATCACTGTGACAAAATACATTTTTTTAATGATGTTCTAATTTACTTACATCCAGCCATCACATTTTTTGAAGCTCTACCCCATATTGTCATTCTGATAGAAAACCATTGTGCTGTGATGCATAGCTTTCACCAACGTCTTGAACTTCTCTCTGTCTCTGTGTCTTGCTAGGGCAGTAGCCCAAAACAAGGCTGTCCTGCTGAATTTAGGCATAACTCATGTGTTAAATGCTGCTCACTCCAAGCAAGGCAGCCCAGGGAACCAAAGCTTTTATGGCAACGACTTTGTGTATTTTGGCATTCCAGCAGATGACTCAACGCACTTTGATCTGGACGTCTACTTCCAGCCCGCTGCGGATTTCATTCACAAAGCTCTGAAGTCACCTGGTGGTAAGAACTTTCAACAAACTTGATCCAGAACGAACAGAAGGAAAAGACGCTTCCCAGAATGAAACGAAAATCATTCGTTTCATTCTGTAAATTCTTAATAGAGTTAACCATCCAAAAAAAAAAAAAAAACCCTCTCACATCTTGCTGCTCTTTCAATGTCACCTGGCACCACAATGTAGCAGAGCTTGTACTGCTATGCAAATGTATGTTCACCCTGTAACAATAAGACTCTTACCTTGCTGAATTTAAGTATGCAATAGCTTCTTTCAAAGAAAAAAGGAGAGGATGAGTTGGGATTAAAGAGAGTTGGCCTGTCTAAAAGAACTTCAAATGAACAAAGATGATGAATTGTCGACTATTTTTAGCTCACAAGCAGAAAAAAGGAAAGGCCACAGTGTGAGACGGGCAGTCATGTATGATATTAATAAGTCTGAGGCCTCACTAATCCTTCCCTCACACCTCTCTCTGTCTTTGTCTTGTTCTTCAGGGAAGGTTTTGGTGCACTGCATCATGGGAATGAGCCGCTCGTCGACTTTGGTGCTGGCCTACCTCATGATCTACCATCACCTCCCGCTCAAACAGGCCCTGCAGAAAGTGGTCCAGAAAAGGGCCATTTATCCCAACAGGAATTTCCTGGCTTTGCTGCTGGATCTAGATCTTCAGATGACAAGAAAAAAGAAAACCTGCCACATACTGTAGACTTTCGTAGCCTTACTGCGTTTTAGTCATGCGTCAAGTATTCCAGCAGTCTGTTGATCCAGCAGTCTGGACTGCGAGTTTTCTTCAGAAAAAATGTTTTTGGCTCGGCAGGTCACAGATTTTTGGAGACATTCAGGTGACAGTATGTTAGCATTTAAGCTGCAAAGAGAATCTGTGTACACATTTGCGCTTCCAAAAATCGTATTCATCAGACTATTGTTTCCCAGACCCACGATTAATCTTTTGTCATGTTAATCAATGACTTAAGAATTCAGATTCTACCAAAAATCTAAATATCACTAAATTTCACTCTCTGTAACAGACCTGCAGAGCAATAGTACAATATCAGTACAGCTGTACTTCTAAGTGGATGGGACGTTTTGTGCCTTTGTGTACTTCACCCATTATTCAGCAATTTACTTCTCAAGTGGTGAAGTATTTTCATGAATTATTGAGATAAATGGTCCAAAAAATATTGGTCCAAATGTTTGGAGGGTGAGAACACAGTTTTGTTCAACCAAAACTACAAAAGTGCAAAACAACAAACACCCATCTTTGGATGTTTAAGGGTTTTCTACCTCTCTTTTCTGATTTCTTTTTATGTTCTGTCTTGTAATGTTGAGGTTTTTACAACTGTGTGTGCTATTTTGTCAAATATGAAGTTATTGATGAACTTTTGAGCAGATTTGTTTTGTTCAGTTTCAGCAACAAGTTTTGAGTTATATACTGCAAAAAAATACCCACAGCGCAATGTTGTTCTCCCCAGACAAATCACCATGAAAATATGGAAAAAAGTTATGTTACGGTTTCTCTTGTTCCCCTGGAAACTATATTAGGTCATGAGGTTTAATCATGACCTAATATGATTAAAGTTGGATTATTGCAGTAAAAGAAAAAAACAAAACACTAAACCTTCAGTGATATCATTGACTATAACTAGTTTTGATTATTGATATTTCTAGGCAAGTATTTGTCATAAAATATGGACATAATTGTCACAAAATACAAAAATCAAACATATTGTAAATGATATTGATATTTTCTACTTTAATTGCAATCACGGCATTCATGCTTTGATGTCCATTTTCCTTAATTTATGAACATTTGATGAAGAAACCGTTTGTGTTTTGATTTTGGATGAAATCTAAAAAGTCCAAATGTCTTGTTGGTTAGTGATACAGAAGATGATAGCTATTATTTACAAGCAGTTACTCATATTTCAATCATTCTCATAAGAGAAAAAGGACCAAATGAATCATAACCATGCTGAACAAGAATTGTTTACTTTAGCTTCTTCATCTCTGGAAAAGAGAGAATAATTCAACAACATCTGTCCAACACATCACAGCGTGAATTTCCTTTGTTGTATTTATCATAGCGGCTGAGTTGATCACTGCTGTGCATCAAAAGGCATCAGTTCCTTTGACGGTCTCTGAACTCATCTGTAAGAATCTGAGTTACAAAAAAGGTATGAACAAAATCTCTATAGTCACGGTTTCTAAATGTTATGTACTTTATTCCTAGAAAGCACTAGCACAATTCAACACAAAACTTGTTAAAATTAAATATCAATGCCATTCAGAACTTGGATAAACAGATATCAAATAACAGTGAATAATGACATTTTTCATTTCATTTTGTCAAGACATCTCTTTCTATACATATAAAAAATTGCGAGAAAAAAAAAGAATAAATTCTTAAAAAAAATAAATACATCAATTGGTTCAATGTGGTATTTTCATATTTTGCGTAAGGCAAGAAGTGTATCAGTGTTCTGGAGGTAAATAAAGTAATCAATAAATGACACAAAGCTTTAAAAAAAAATGAAAAGTCCTGATCAAACGGCATGTGGTTGATTAAAATACATGGAAGGATGGAAGATTGACAGAAAAGTTCAGGCACGGGAGCACGGATCTAATTTTCCTCACTATTAAAAAAAGCAGCGTCCTATCCTCGTTCCTGCACTGGCAGCTCGGGTAACCTTTAAGGAATGTAGAGGATGACGCCAGAATTATTTTGGGCCGTGATTCAGATGTTAAAATTAGCAAAAAAGGTTGCAGGGTAGATTTCCAAGGAGAACACATAGACAGTTGTGCTCTCGACCTAGATGTAGGTCTTGTGTAGCGAGACCATGAAAAGCGACGATTTCAGCCAAGGCAAGTGTCTGCTAACAATCTGCTCTTCTAAATTTACTGCACATATGGTGTGTTGGGAAATATCTGAGTATGTTCTGTGTGGCGTAGAGCTCCTCGTCATTTTAGCTGACCAGGTGAAATTCATAATTGAGGAAAAATTTAATCTTGTAGATTTCTCAAAACAATAAGCTAATCTCTTCAAATGAATAGTTTTCTGACGCTCCAGATTATTTGTTTTGTTTAAATGAAAGTAAGCTGCAGCTCCACTGGACTCTGTTACATGAAACAAGTACAGGTAAAGGTAATTTTATCTATATAGCACATTTTCAACAAAAAGGCAATACAAAGTGCTTTACAAGAATTAAAGGAAATACAAACAAAACAACAAACCACAGGAAAAAGCAAAAGAAGAAAAAGCTAATAATGTTGTTCCAAAGTAAATAAACGAGATATTCCTATTCAGGGTTGGTAGGGAGGGTTGGTCTAATACCTTTTCTGGTTGAAGTCTAAAAGCTCAATGAACGCTGGGATTAGACGTGCCGCCTCGTTCCAGGTTTCACAGCACAGGCTGAAATACCAGTAAGAACAGTTTTGCAGTAGCCAGGGCAGACTGGGTTTTGTGTTGGATTAGGTTAGATGTTGTTCTGGGTTCAGTCTGGTCTCCTGGGTGTGTTGATGCACTCGATTAAGTTCACCTGCCACTCCTGGGAAGGTTCACCAACCGTTCCAGATTTTCTCCATTTGTGTCTAACCGTTTGCTCCAATCCGAAAGCCTCTTAAATGGCTTTGCTTCTTATTCTTGAATTTCTTTAATACCCAGCATAATGTGTTTGTTTTTAAGATGATTTAGTCTGCTTCAGGTCGTCAAACAGGTTCTACTTATGTAGTTTCTTGATTCTACAGTTGAGACAGGTGTGGCTTGTGAAAATGTACACAAAATATGAGCTTAACGACACTTAGCTCAATGTTTTAAAAAAGGAGGGGCGTTATATTTTCACGTGGGAACAAGTTGGTTGAGAAATCTTGATTCTCGTACTAACTGACATCATTTGAAAATTGCTTTTTGTATTTCCTCCTTATTTCTGACTGATTAATAACAGTTGTTTTATGATCTAATTATGACAAAAGAAATCTTCGAGGAACGATTTTTTTTAAACGTTATTTCTATTTGAGTTGTCATAGGAATCATTTCTGCATTTATGATATATATTCTTAGAGCCCATAGAGATACTACTGTTCTTTCACTGAGTGCATAACGGACTACTAAAGAAGAATATGTCCAGCACAGACACAGTTCTTCCTAGCAGGTTTTCAAACTTTCTTCTTTTTAGTAATTTGCCTATGAATCCAGATGAGCCACATCTGAAAGGCTAAAGTAGGTAATGCAATTCTTAAAATCACCAAGAAAAGGGCCTGAGGTGGCAAAAAAGAGGCCATTTTTATTTGCCCTCCGTGTTAACTGCAGGCACTTTCCCATAGAAAGTATCTTTAATTACACAAAAGTGGAGCAGGAAGGACAGCTTCGCCTGAGGGGGGTAGGCTGAGAAAGCAGAGCTGAAGCTCAACATATGCACCAGGGAAATCAGTTCTCTGCCCCTGACTGTGGGATGGAGGGAAAAGGCTGCACTCCTAGATCAATGAGGAGAAAGAAGAGCCTGCAGGTTCTTCTGGGTTTGTGTTGTATAAAGATGCTCTTCAACCTGCCTTCAACGCTCAAACACTCATGGAGCACGCGCTGGGTCATCTGCAGCTTCTTCTCGCATGCACCTCCTCAAAGTGACACTTGGGCAATCAGCAGCGATGGATCCAGCCATCATGATGTGCCCCTCCATATGCTACAGCAGCTCAGTCAAAGGTCACTGGAACAGACTTGGTCTCAATGACTCATTACCGTGGACAAAAACATCAGAACCACAGCACGTCCCCCACTCACGAGAAAGCCTGCAAGTAAGAAGCGGAGCATGCGGTAGTGCATGCACATCAGTTGTTCGCTCTCAGCCTTAAGCACAGTCACACACAAGGCTAAACTGATGCTAATGTATACAGCATGTAGCATAGAAGTCTCTCTAAAGCCTGGCATATAAATTGTAAAGGCACAGGTTAGAACTGAATACAGGAAATGAAAATCAGTTTACAGACCTTGAATACAAACTTTCTGTTTCTCTGGAGATAAATAAATTTACCAAGAGCTGCTGAATTATAAATAAAATAAAGAGAGCAGCATAAGGTCAACTCATAATTATGTGATCTTGTGCTTCTGTGCCAGTATGGAGAGCATTTATTGGAGTAACTCTGGTCTATATTTAAAAGCTAAATATAAATACTTATAATGAATGTTCTACTTAACAGGCCCTCTCTATAACCCTGCATCTCCTTTATCCATTTATAAAATGATGCCCTCATTTGAATTGTATAATGTGTTTTAATTAAATCATGTGGCATTTTAGGGTAAGGCGTATCGTGTCAGAAGCTGGGAAAACACCGGTGTCTCAAAGGAGAAATTGGAAACAATATGCAAATCTGTTGCTAGATTCAGTTGCTAATGTTTCATTTCAAGTAAATTTATGTTTACAATCAGCAAGAAAACCCACAAAAGGACACAAGTAATTATAATTACAGTCAGTTAACAATTAGTACTGATAAAAATCAAATATAGCGCAATTAATTCACTTAAATAGTGTTAATAAAATGCACGCTTCATAGCACAGCTATCTGGTACAGGAAGATAGAAAAGAAGCATTGCACTTTCACATTTCTATATGTGAAAGTTGCTGTGAGTTACTCAGGACATTATTGCCATTTTATGCATCAATGTTTATCCAAATAAAAATTGATGCATAACATCTGCGTGGGGCACGTATGTTTTTCTAGGTTTGTTTTAAGGTTTGAGAGATAATGAGGCATTGTCTTTTTCTAACCTTATTGCTTCAAACATCTCAACAAATTTATCCTTGAGTTGTCTGATGTTTTTTACCGGTGCTGATGCTTCTTTTTAATTACTGAAGTTGTCCAACAAAACCCTCAGGGCTAATAGAACATCTGGATTTATACAGAGATTAAACTGCACAGGTGGACTCTTGTAAGTGGCTTGGTCAATCACATACAATGTCAAAAAACAATGTGGTTTTAATGGGACAAATCTGAACAGGTTCATGGTATCATCTTTCAAAGCACTACTGAGTCCCTCACCTTATTGTTTTAAGTGCCTTTGTATTTCCTTTTAGCTGAAGTTGTACCTTAACATATTTAAACATGATAAATGTTTGTGGAGCTTCCTTTGATAAATAAAAAATGTTATTTAATACAGAGAAAAGCTTGACCAGAGTCACCTGACTCTACACCCTGCAGGCCTGTTCGGTAATTCTTGCATGCTTCTCAGCAGTCATTGTTGAACAAAGACGATTACCAGTTCTGTTCTTGGCAATAGAGTGAAGGTAGCGCAAGATATGCCCAGAGGCCTTGGCAGCATGGCGAGCCGTCAGGTGCAACCGGGCAGCTATGAGACCCCCACAGCCTCTGAACTACACAGACTGATGTGGACAAAGAAAGGCGGGAACAACCGTATGGACGAAGTTTATCCCCGGATCTATATAGGAGACATGTGAGAATTAACCACCTGTTTGATTAGCATTTGTTATGAATGGTGTGACAATGAATCCAGTAAAATCATTCACAGAATAAGTCAGAAGCTTTATATCCAGATATGTTTATCTATTATTTTGTGCAATTTGTGGCTTTCACTTGTAGTGTTTAGACAGGAAAGGGTTAGAAAGAGAAGAGGTCAGACAAGCTGCAAAGGTCATGAGATTGTAAGCCGAACCCCAGACGGCTGCAAGAACTTAGCATTAGGGGCGCTTGCTCTCCCGTCAAGTCATGAGTCACCTCAAAGATCCCAGAATGCTGCCACACCAAGGGTTTCTGAGCTTTGAAAGCCTCTTTACTGTTTTTGGAACAAAATATTGTGAACCAGCCCAATGAGAAGTCAACTCAGGCTGCCTTTATGCCACCAGGACGAACGGTTGAGTTAAAAACTCAATGCTAAATATTTGGCAGCATTCACGCAGCATAACATCTGAAAAAAAATATTTACATATATATGTAGAGAGAGAGAGAGAGAGAGAGAGAGAGAGAGAGAATGTACTGATGTGCTTGCGTATCATTTTTCTCCCAATGTCAGTGAATTATGATTGCACAGGTTTCTCCATATAATCAATCAATATTTTATCACCAGTCAATTTTTATAACACTGTCTACAATACAATTATAACATATTTAGTACTAAAAAACATCACTTCAGGCTAAAGCTACACATTCTGGATAGAAGTTAAAATACTGGTGTACAATCGATTTGGAAATGCTTTGTCATTCCTTTGGCTCAGACACAGGAAAAGAAAACAAGCCACACCATCTTTGCCAGCAATAAAATGTCTTAAGCATTCCTCTTGCTCAGACTTTAATTGCTCGTAATTTTGGAAGTGTGGTCAACACAGACTGAATGGCTTTGTTCACTTCCTCCCCTGCCATTGCCAAACTCCAACCAAAGACAGATTCAAATTGAAAAACAGTGCAGAAAACTGACGTCATCATTCATAACTTCTCCTTCAGGTCACCAGAATAAAATTCATCCAGGGAAATTGAGCTCAAGGGGACAAATTCCACATGGACCACTGAAGGGAGATCAGAATAAAGCAGAATTGCATAGAAAAGCAATGGACAGGCTAGTAAAAATGTGATCCATTGCATTACTGCACAAAGGGTCTCTGTTAATGAGATAAACATTCTGTTTGTTGTTTATGGAAACAGGCAGTAAGTGACTCATGCGGCATCAACTCTAAATGAAAGTAGAAGAAAATAGATGGCTCTTCAATCAAAATTTAACTGCAACAAGAAGTTTTTATATTGAGACCTTTTTACACCCCTTTCTTTCATATTTAATCTAGCTAGAGAGAGCTTACTTATCATTTAGTCTGTTAAAATGCAAACAGTTACTGTACACATTCATTTTTTTGCCTTAGGTATGCAGCAAAGGACAAGAGGACACTCCAGGCTCACCACATCACCCATGTCCTCAATGCCGCTGATGGAAAATTCAACGTGAACACGGGACCAAGCTTTTACAGGGACACCGCCATCACTTATCATGGAGTGGAAGCTTTTGACATGCCGTCCTTTGACTTGAGTCCCTTCTTTTACCCAGCGGCCAGTTTTATCAAGAATGCTCTGAGTCTGCCCACAGGTGAGGAGGCTCTCTTGGCACTGAAGGTGTTTCTCTTCATTATCCACATGTTGACTTTGGGAAGGCGAAGCAGATTGTTGAAACATTTGTCAGTCAATTCCCACTACAGCAACCCCCAGTTGTGTTACTCATTAAAATGCAAATCAAACACTAAACATAATATCAAGCTAATATCTTCCCCCACGGTAATCTTCTCATGGGCTCAGACCTTTGTCGGGGAAATTAGTTTTAAATGGATTGCCCTGGTAATTTGTAAGCTAGACTTTTATTGGACATGGAAATTACACAATTATGTTTGTGGCCTGCGTCTGCATGGCCTGTTATGCAAAGTGAAGTCGGTATCTGACATGACAGTAATAAGATGAGGCCTCCTTCTTCACATGCCGGCTGATCAGGGGGCTCCAGTGTGTGGCGGGGCCTGCGGTAATCCCCGGCGGAAATACACAGAAGCCAAGACAGTTCAATTACTTGCTCCTCTGCTCCCTAATCCTCGGGCCTGATAAGAAACCCGGGATTAACGTGTGTAGAAACATTTGTTGCAACATTGTCGAAAACTTTTACTTTGGAGTTAGAAGTGTTCTCTTTTTTTGTGACGTTCATGGTTTTTAATCCACAGAGGAGTAACAAATTGGACATTTAGAATGATGTCTGACACAATAATCCCTTGATTGCATGGTTGTAAATGCAGAAATAAAGCTTGTAGGGAATGCCACAAAAAGACGGTGATCCACTGGGTCTGTGTTTTTTTGTTTTGTTTTGTTTCCGTTGGTCCCCAGGGAAGGTTTTTGTCCACTGCGCAATGGGACTCAGCCGGTCCTCCACCTTGGTTCTGGCCTATTTAATGATCCACGAGAACATGACTCTGGTGGACGCCATCAAAGCTGTCAGTGCCAACAGGAATGTTTCACCCAACGAGGGATTCCTGGAGCAGCTCCGTCGTCTGGACAAAAAGCTGCACTGTCTTTAGGCAGTTGAACAATCAGAGTGGATTTAGTTAAGCTTAATTATATTGTGGCCTCTTGCTGATATGAAGCTGCTATAACAACAAACACAATGTAAATCATATTGTTGTATTGTCTTTGTAAAATATATTCTATCTGTGTTACAAAAAAAAGCTAGTAATAGCTTGAAATGTTATGATCTCAGACAAGAACATGTAGACATTACAGTTGGTCTTTGATTCAAAATCATTCAGAGGAACGAAAACAAGCGAGCAGAAACATAACCCAGAAAACCCAGAAAACAATTTTGAGAGAAAACTGACTGAAAATCAAAACAAATTTATGGATGTCCCCATGAACTGTATTTTATTAAATGTAAACAATATACCAATTCTACAATAATAATAAAAAAAATTCCTTACATATTTTAAAATTCCTTACATATTTTAGTGACATTTCAAGAGGACAAAGCAGTTAACATCCTACGTATGTAGCCAAAGATGCAGAAAATATTTAAATGGTTCATTTTACACTTCTCTGTCAACTCAAATTCAAAGAACAACATGGCCAATAAAGTTCATATTTCATCATGTGTTGTTCCCAGAAACTGTAGGACTCTTGAGAGTGCTAGCATAAATATTTCTCAACAAGGTTGCAAATCACTTTTTCAGGGCAGTTAAGTGAATTTCAACAAACATTTCTGTAAAAGTGAGGATTTTTATATGCAGGTGTGCATCAACTGCATTACAATGGATGAAGCGTTGACAGGTCGTCAAACATTGCAAAGGGTCTCCAGTGCCAACCCATCTGACCTGTCTTTACGAAGTAGATTCTAACATGGCCACAAGTTGGACAGTGAAAGACTGGCAAGAACCTGCTGATGTGGGATCTAAGGTCCCTCAGAGGCTGGGGTCCACCATCAACCCAACTCATGCACTTCATCGAAGAGGTGAAGGGCCATTTTAATACAACTCAAAAGATTGTAACCTATGCCTGAGTTGAGGAAAGTTGGAGGAGACGAGTAGAGTCCTGCAGTCATCTTGCGAATTGGTTGTCTGACCTACAGGGACAAAAAAGACTAACTGAACCATCTCGAAGCGAGTTAGCGCCACATTTCTCCTCAGGACAGTTTACATTCAGCCTCATTGTTTACCTCATCTATCTTTGTTCCTTTTTAGTGGAATGTTGCTCCAAATCACTTGCAACAGAATGTGCGTATTCATATTTATTTATTGGGTTTATCTAAAATATTCAAATGAAAATGAAGTTTGGGAAGCTGAAACATTTTGGTGCAATGCTAAGTGACACTATTGGCTGGGATTTGCAAAGCAGCCAATCTGGGAGCAGCACTAATTTTCATTTAGGAAAACTGTGTGTGTTAACTTCTGCAGTAGTGCCAAAATGGTTCCCATTGTGCTCGTTAATGCATAGTAAAGTATATTTGATGTCTGAACTTATAAAACAGGTAATCGTACACATTTTTAGAGGGGGCCTCATCAAGTATTTGTAACTTTTAGCAGTTTGCTGTCCATAAATCCTGTAATTACTAGGGTCCTCCATAAATGATTAGCCTTCCTGGAGAAATGCTAATAAGTCCCAACTTATTGACTTGGAATTGGAAGTGGAAAACGAGTTGCCCAGTGGGCCATACTTGGTAAGAGCTAGCTGAAGTAAATGTAAGGTTAAGGTAATCGTTGCTGGCAGTCATTAACCTATAACCACAAATTTTATTGTTATTTCAACAGGAAAGGATTGGAGCTTTCTAACCAAAACTGTTAATTGGGTGAATTATTAATGTTTATTGCAATGACAGCCAAGATAGAGTAAGTATTTCTATTTTTTGCCAAAGGTGCTGTAACCTTGGGAATGTGTACAGTACTGCAATGGTTAAGACATTACAGGAAAAATGTGGACCGATTGTGTGCAGATAGGTGTGACTTTCAGCTCCTTCCATTCACTGAAGCTATGTTTTACACTGCCACTGAACAGCCCACTATAATAAAGTATTCTGATGGCTTTCTGAATAATAATTACTGTCACAAGCTGTTATTCGCCACTGTGGAGAACGACAGGCAGACTGGCTTTGCTGCAATGTCCATCTGTTGGGTTTCCAAGCTGTTGGTTCCCAGATAAAGTTTCACCTTACATTTTCTTCATCAGTGGATAAATTACAGCATAAACCTTCATTAAATGAGTTTACAATAAAGCCTGAAACTTTAATATCAGTGTTAGATTCCTGGTTGGCCTCTGTGTTAATTTTGGTTAGGAATGTAGTTCTGAGGAGAGAGTTGTTTGAAAGAATGTTTTGTGTTGGAATACAAGTGAAATCTTCAAATCTATGTTGTAATTTTTACAATTTAAGTGTGAAATAAAGGCCCCTTTAATTGCTAAGCTGGTGGGGTTTTTTTGTTTGTGTTTTTGCTCTAATTCTTTATCCACATTTGAGATCTTAAAGAGTTAAACCTCTGATGCCAGGATGGTGGAAACATGAGACATTAACAGACATCCTGTGAAGGCTGAATGGACATTCCTATCATTTTTTTGTTGAGTTCAAATAAACTCAACAAAAAGTTCATTTGTTGCAACTAAACAGCCTACAACCAACTCAGTCCCACTTGTTTTTAAAGTTTACAGATAACTCTGATTTTAGATGCGTTTGATACAGCTTTGAGTCACTAGTCCAACATAAATGTTGAAAGAGTCATTGCAAAGATGCAGGCTGACTTCTGGCGCACAGGAATAAATAGTCTACACTGCCTCAGTTTAGCCTCTGGCATGTTCAGCTGTCCATTTGCAGCGGGTCAACTATCCTGATTTCCAGCTAAGTCTCAAAACCGAGCAGATTGAAGCTGTTTGGTTAAGATTTACTGCAAGGTTTGCAAAGGGAAAAGTTGTGGCAAGATTTTATTTTTAACTTTTGTTACTGAACCACATTTGGGAAAGTCATCTGGCTTTTAGGTTCAAATCGAGAGGAATATAAATCGTGGTAATCATATACCAACATTGAGGTGAGAATTAGCGGGTATGAGCTCAGAGGAGTCAATGGATCAGACACCGCCCACTTGCGGTCTGCTGGGCCTTCTGCTGAAGAACAGGCGTCCCACCGGAGCTGTCAACGAGGTCTGGCCCGGTCTCTTCATTGGGAACGCGTAAGTGACATTCTCACTTTTGGGAAATGTGCTGATGTGATTGTGAAACTGTTTCTGCAAACATGCCTGACCAACTGATGGGACGGATATAGAAAAAAAAAAATCTGTACATTTGAGTCACCAGTGATGCATTTTTGCAAACATATGCTGCCAGAGATGGCTGCGGGTGAGAAAAAAAACGGCAAAACGTCACAGTCCTCCTATCATCTCTGCGTGCTATTTGTAGGGCGACAGCTCGAAATAAGACGCTGCTACAGAATCTGGGAATAACACACGTGGTGAATGCTGCAGATGGCCCTCGGCACAGTGACACCCTGCCACGTTTCTACAGAGACACCAACATTCAGTATCATGGAGTAGAGGCAGCAGACTGCAGAGATTTTGACTTGAGTCCGTTCTTCTCAGAGACTGCTGATTTCATTCAAGGAGCTCTGAGTCAGAAAGGTACGATTCGGTCAAACCACATCAGGTCGGAGGCGTGGAGGTAACTCATGAGGCACAAATGTGATGCATCACCAAGATGGATTAAATGTCAACAAAATCTGCAAAATTATGACTAAATAATGCTCAAATCTGTTGCTTTCTTGCTTTGCAAGAGGGAGAGTATAAATATTTCTTAATAAGACTAAACAGTCTGATGCCTCCTGCATTTTTGAGTTTTAAGCTGAAAGTTTTAGTTGAATAAATCACTTTCAGCTTACATTTTACTACATTTTATGTGAAAATCAATGAGGAAAACAACTTCAGTTAAAGGCTCATGTTTTATTCTACATTTTGTAATAACTGTTTGTTGGTTAAAGATGGACCATTTTTGCAGCCTGGGGTGTAAATGTAAATTATTGATTGCTGCACTGAATGTCAGTTTTATGCTTCTGGATTAAGTGAAAACGACGCAATATTATTTGAAGTGTACAACCTTGTATTATTGAATTGTTAAAAAGCTCATTGTGCCTCAGAAAAGTTTTAATTTCACATTTTATGCTGCGACAACAAACTTTGGTATATTTTAATGGGATTTCCTAAAATCTGCAGATTGTAAAGCTAAACTGCTAATTTAAAAAAATAGAAGATAAAAATCCCCAAACTGTGGCATATGGACACTAAACTTTTTGTCCATAGTGCTTTAAAAAATAGCAACATAGCTAATGTTGTTACGTTTAAAATAGTACATTTTTCGATCTTGCCATTACTAAGACATGAATATGCTTTCCTCTAAACTACATCGTAGCTTAGGCTGTACATCTATCGTTGATATTCTCCTGCGTGGTGAATCCACAAAAGTCTCTAATCCTATGAAGCCTCCTGCACTTTTTCCATCCATCTTCCAGCTTTACTGAAAAACTACCCTGCCAGCTGGGTACCGGAAGGTCGTTGAACCTTATTTATTTATTTAATTAAAGTAAAGGGGACTGAATAGGAATGCATACATTAAAGTTTGTATTTGCAAAAAAATATATATCACATAAAATCCCAATAAAATACTCAGAGGATTTTCGCTGTAATGCAATTTTTTTTCTTCTTTTTTACAACACACTATATTCTGTGGCAAAGGTTTGTAGGTGGTGTGTTTTTTTTCTCTGTGCAGGTAAAGTACTTGTCCACTGCGCTCGGGGAATCAGCCGCTCAGGAACTCTCGTGTTAGCCTTCCTCATGATCAAAGAAGGTCTTACCCTGGTGGAAGCAGTGGAGCTCGTTTGCAGGAGCAGAAATATCCTGCCGAACACTGGGTTTCTGAATCAGCTCCGTCAGCTGGACTCAGCTTTGCAAAGAAGAAAAATAACATTCGGAGGCGGAGAGAACATGTGAATGATGTACTGCTAAAAGGAGTTTCATTTTCATGAATACTTTCTATATATATATATATATGTAAAAATACAAATCCCTATGGAAGCCCGTTTAACTTTGTTAAAAAAAAAAAATCTCATTATAATGAGATACTATCTCAAAATAATGATATATATATATATATATATATATATATATATATATATATATATATATATATATATATATATATATATATATATATATATATATATATATATGTTTTTTGTTTTTTTTTAAACACGGTGGTGGAAACGGGCTTCCATAGTTTGAGATACTATCTCATTATAATGAGAAAATTTATTTACATTTTTTTTAACAGGGTGGCAGAAACACGCTTCCATACAAAACAGAATGGTTCAGTCTGGATTTTCTGTTTTCGAATTACGTCCCCTGTAATTGTTCACATTTTGAGACATATTTTATTGGGGTTTTATGAATGCACGCTGCAATTTTAAGATATTTCTAAAAAGAACAAACTTTTGGAATAATCATTTTCTGTCCTCTTAACTACATCCTCCCAAATATTTCAAGGACCGTGTAAATATGACAGAAATAAAGTCATAATATTATGAGAAAACAGTCATAATATTATTTATGAATATTATTTATTCTGGTAATATTATGACTTTACTCTCATATCTTTAGTGCCTTATTCTTGTAAGACTTTATTCTTGGGACATTATGAGTTAAATCTCATAAAACTACAACTTTATTGTCAAAATGTGACTTTATTCTCACAATTTTATGACTATTTTCCTAATTTAACTTTTTCTTAGTATGGCCCTACTGTTAGGGCCATACTAAAGTGACTAGTATTGCAAGTCACTGTAACCACATAAAACATCTCGACATGCAATACTCATGATCTGAACTAATGCAATGTTTGACGACCAACAGGAGAAACACATGATTCTAGTCTTTAGGGAGAATTTCCCATGATGGATCTCAAATCTACAGAATATCGCTGCCTAAAACACACCAACATTAGTACCAGACTGCAGAGACCCAGGCTGCATTGAAACAACACAGAAACAGCTTACGCCTATAAATAAACAATGCTCCACCTAAGTATTCATTTCAGTCCAGTGAAGTATGGTTAAAACTGTGAAATGTCTAAAAAGGCTTGATGCAAATTGACAAAAAATATGCCATCGTGGTTCTGAAGGAGTATACAGATTCAGGTCAGACTTTGAAAGAGAGATGAAAAGCCGAAGCCATCTTAATAAGAAATGCTCTCCAGAGCTCACTGGGAGAAAGATGCTGTCAAAATAAAAGGAATTGGATATCACAGGTTTAATGATTTCACTGTCAGAATGAATGATGGCGGGGTATGAAGATACGAGGGGTGGAGGGAGCAAGTAAAAGGGGCCTGATGGTGTGAAAACTCAGTCTGACATGTTAGCAGCTTCATCCCGCCATCCTGCAACGCAGCCATCACTGCGCTCCCACTTTTGGGGGCTCGCGTTTAGATCTCTGAATGGACCGTGCATATCATATAATGGGGGAATCAAAGGCATGTGCCATCCCACTTGAAAACCTCATCTGTTGAACTGTCTGACACGTTTCAGCTCCAGCCTACGGCCCCCCGAGAGGCTGCGGGAGATGCAGAACATCCTTAACGGGTGTTGTAAGGCTGCACTTACACGCTTTCTCCCTGCATCTGAAGACACGCGGAAAGGCTAAGAGAGACTGACGCGATTTCAAGAAGCAAAGCCTCGGAGTGCCCTGTTCACTCCATTGCATGTGGGTATCCTCTGGCAAGCTCAGAGTTTGGATAAGCGCAGCTTGCCGCCAGCAGTGGAGATTAAAGTCGCACGTTTAAATGTGGATGGCAGGGACTGGCTGGGTGGAAGCTTTTCCCCACAGGCAGGAACACATGGCAGCTAAGGTCAGAGGGGCCCTGCCGCATCACAGCCCTAAAAATATCCTCTGCATTTGATGCCCTGTCACACAGACAGTTACACAATCTGCACCCAGAACTAACCCTTCGTATGTTCTGCCTTCGAGCGTTGCTTCACAACAATCTGGCAGAGGGATGAAAACAAAGATCCTCCATGTCTCGGTGAGCTGAGCTGGAGATGCATGCGGAAGATAAAAAACAAAAAGTGTGCTTTTTCACGACTTCAGGCAAAGGGACCATGTATGGAAGGGAGCCACGGTGAGGGGGAAAAAATGGCTTCTTATGAGTCAAAGGACAGATCAAAGATAAACGCTGCCAAAGCAGCAGAGGAGTCCAACACGGCGGACGATTATGTCACACCTGGAACCTACGAGCTGGAGAAAATCCTCAACCGTGGGAGCGTGGCTTACACTCATGTCAACGAGGTGTGGCCTAACGTCTACATTGGAAATGAGTGAGTAAAAAAAAAAAAGAGAAAAAAATACTAGACAGTCTAAAAATAGAGTAGTGTGAAAAATTGGTTGCCTTCCTCGATTTCCTGTCCTTTCTTTTTTCTCACACTTAAATATTTCAGATCAAACAAATTCAAATGTCAAACATAACCTGAGCAAATACAAGATGCAATAAAAAACAAATTTTAAACCCTCGTGGGTTTAAAATTGCCCCTAAACATGATGCTTAGGCGGGTAATTGGCAACAAGTTTTTTAAATTGCTGGAAAGGAATTTCGGCACTTTGTTTTAATTCAGTACCACTGAGGGGTTACAACTCCGCATGTCTTAATGAAATCTAAGTCCAGTCTTTGGATAGCATTAACTTTGACTTTATGAAAAGATATCAAAAGCTAATAGCAAGACATTTGCCAAAAAAGCAGAATTAATGGATCCATCAATTGCAGAAACTGTTCAGGTTCTGATCATCACACTCCCACCACCATGTTTGACTGTAACGATGCTTTTTTCTGAAAGGCTGTTTTGGGTTTTAAAACAGATCTAATGAGACCCCAACTTCCCAAAACGTTCCAATTTTGTTCCGATAGGCCACAGAAAACCATAGCAGTATTTAAATTTTTACCTGGATCTCACACATGGATGCAATCTTTAAGAATTTTTGAGCTTTAAACAATTTTCTGGGCTCTTTTGTTCCCATTTGCTCTGGGACACCTGAGATTCACCAGTGTTTTATGCTTTCTCCATTTGTTCATAAAGACCCTTTCCCAACTTACATGTCAGGCCTCGTTTCTCATTTGTTTTTGACTTTATTTAGATCATCACATACTGTGTTTTAAGATCTTATAACCTACTGCATATTGTCAGAAAGGCTCTTTTTATTTCCATGCAATTTTCAAGTATGAACAGTGCTTTTTATTGACTTCCTGCAGGGAGACTGCGATGGATAAGTGTACCCTGAAGAGGCTGGGAGTTACTCACATATTGAATGCAGCAGAAGGAACTTGGAACAATGTGGACACTGGACCTGGCTACTACAAAGACATGGACATTGTTTACTATGGTGTTGTTGCAGAAGACATCCCAACATTTGACCTCAGCCAGCATTTCTTCTCTGCAGCCAAGTTCATTCAGGAAACACTGAGAAATCCTCAGAGTAAGACAATTTTACCAGCTTCACAGAAACGTTACTGTCTATGGGTTTTTTTTTTCTTTTTTTCTGGTTTATCACGTTACAAAAACTCCAGACTTAAATTCAGTTTTAAGTAATGGACCAGCACAAAGTAGCTCATAACTGTAGAGGAAGGTGTTCAAAATTGTTCACTAAAACTGGGGTGGAGATTCAAGATCTAGCAGGACAAAACCTACAGCAGTAACCTTTAGATAAAAATAAATCCATGATAGAAATGTAACTGAGAATCTGTCCAAGACTTTAAGATTGACAATCCCAAATTTATGTTACGAAAACTTTCCCTTTCACATCGCAATTATGAGCTTCTTGGTGTTGCTCAAATTCCCAACAAAATGTATTGAAATTTTAGATTCATTGCAGGACAAAATTTTATGACGCACTTTTTCACGGCACTAAATATATAAAGAATAAACAACATAATCCAATCAATAGCTCACAGGCATTTACATTATCCCTAATTTTATTTTCTTAAATGTAAATTCTGCTGGTTGTGCACACTTCATGTCATTTCATTATTCATCTATCACTTCTGAAGGAAATAAAAAGTGTCGTGATTTATCTCCAGATAAACTGCTGGTTCATTGTGTGATGGGAAGGAGTCGGTCCGCCACCCTCTTTCTTGCCTACCTGATGATCTACGAGAGCATGACGATTGTGGACGCCATCGAGCACGTAAAGAGACGCCGACGGATCATCCCTAACTGGGGCTTCCTGAAGCAGCTGAGGGAACTAGACCAGCAGCTCCTGGAGGGAAGAGGAGGCTTATAAATTTAAGAGTCAAATCAAGTCCACTATACTTGATAATTGTACCAAGATTTTTTTAAAAAAGTAAATGTATGTTTTTCACATCCTTAAATATAAATAAGAAAAACATTTGGACAATCAAGCCTTCTTAATACCAATTCAAATATTCACTGTGTGGCCTTGAAAAGACGGTTCAAAACTTTTGGTTTTGGATAACGCCTTGATACTTTTTTTTTTTTTTAGAGAAATCCAAGCTGTGTCTCACATAAAAGGAGAACAATCAAGTACATGGTCAATCATAATTTATTCTTATGCTAAAATGTACAGCATTTTAAGTGACTGACAAAAGGAGAAAAGTCATAAATACAAGAATGTCATTCTGTTCGATTTGAGTGCACATAGCCAGATATTTCCCCCCGTTCTTACCAGCAACTCTGTACAGGTACAAAGGCTACAAAAGAGCAATATTAACAAAAACACAAGTACAAGTTGCGTTTTACATGCAATCCATTAGCTTAGTTTGGTCTATTCACAGGCTCTATTCTTCTACAATTCGGTAAAATATAAATCCAACGTTTTATAAAGATAGAAAACAAATCTACACATGGAATGAAAACGTAGCTTTAAAGGCATTATGTAAAATATCAACTTTGGACTAAATTTATATCATCTTTATTGTTATTTCATCATTATAATCATTTAATCTTTTTAAATTCTGCCACACTTCGGGACACTTTGAAATGTTTTAGAATTTTCTTTTTCAGGGTACAAACACTGAGATATGCTTTGTTATTTTCTGACAGAAATCAGTCTGTTTTATTAAACAGAAAGCTGCCTTGAGGAGATCTGTTACAAAAGGCTTCAGAATTATACATACATCGCAATAAAACCTTTCAAACCAAACAGAAGACTAAAGTTTACATTTTTTTTACATTATTAGATTTAATAAAATATAGTTTCATCTTTCTCCCTGTGAAGGGAAACCTAATAAAGGCCATATATTTTTTTTAAATGGCTTGCTATTAAGCACAACACTTGTACAGTACTACTCAATGCACTGTCACTAACAGAGACTGAAGCATGCTTTTTATCACTTTACAAAATAAGTACAATAATTTAAATATACAAAGGCATGAGTATAGTACAAACTAATTGTCAGCACTGTTAGACAGGTACACTGAACAGCCACTATTTCCACTCGCAGCAGGCGCATTAAATGGCTTCATTTGAGGCTGCTACACTGATGAAACTTCTACGACTGAGCTCCGAACCCGCCTGGCCTAAAGACACATCAGAGACACTAACACTAATTAAATAGATTTTCATCTTAATGATGTAAGGCTTCCCATCTGGAGGAACAAAAATACTTTTTAACGCTAGCTTTAAAAGTTACCTCACGGATGAAAGTTTTTGCATTCTTTACAAGTGCTGCTGCTGGTTTTTTTTTTTTTTTTTTTTTTTTTTTAAGTAACAAACATAAGAAAAACGGAAGAAAAAAAAAAAAGGACACCAAAAACAACAAAAGAAGAAGAAGAAGAAAGCAAGGCCTAATCAGTGCATCTTTAGAAACAGCCAAATGCACAGGAGGAGAAGCAGCTCTGTCCTGCGGAGAGTTACCGCCTGATTAAGGGACCTTTCAGGGACTGCTTGGACATGCCCGTGTTCATGTAGCCATGGTGACCAGCTGGAGGGTACACCATGTTGCCATGTGGCGGAGCCTGCATGGACTGCTGGGGGTATGGCTGCGTTCCCATCATGCCCATCTGCATAGAGTACTGGGGTGACTGGTTCATATAGGCGTGGTTGCCATGGTAGCCACTGTTCATCATGGGCTGGCTCATGCCGTAGCCGTTCATGGCGTTGAGGGAGGGCATGTTCATCGAATTGACATTGTAGCCCGGCGCCGGCATGATGTTCATGCTCATGTTCATGCGCGGCATGGCGGCCAGGGTCCTGGGCGCCTGCATGGCGACGGCCTGCGGCGGTCGGGCGTACATCTGCTGCTGGTGGTTATGGGACAGCGGCGCCGACTTGGAGCGCGCCGAGACGTGGCTCTTCGACGGCATGTGGGGCACGCGCTGCGAGCGGGAGATGCCCATGTTGGGCTGCAGCATCATGGATGATGGGGAGCTCAGATTTGGGGGCGGGGTCATGGTGGCCTGCACCTGCGGGTTGGGGACTCTGTGAGGATTCTGGGGTAAGGACACCAAGCTGGAGTGCTGCGATGACAGCGAAGGATTGTTTGCGTACGACGTGATGGGGTGTGGGGCTGCGTGGTTGAACGGATTGGAGTGCGGGTGGTCAATGAACGTGTTGGTGAATTGCTGCAGCTTGGCTAGGCTGAGGCCCGACGACTGGGGGTAATGCCCGCTGCCATACTCCCCCTGTGGGTTGATTCTCTCATAGAGGGCAAAGTTGGGGTTGCCAGACTCGGGGATGTCCGCCAGCTGCATGGTGGTGGTGAAGTTGGGAGGGATGGAGCACTGGGCCATGTGCGGCGGCTGCTGCTGGCTGTGGAGGCCGTGCTGAGCGTGCTGATTGTGCTGGCTGAGCTGATTGTGCTGCGGGTGGTGATTGTGGTGGTGGCTGTGCTGGCTGTGTTGACTGAGCTGATTGTGTGGGGCGTGCTGATTGTGTTGGCTGTGCTGATTGTGTGGCGGGCCATGCCTGCTGTGTTGGCTGCGTTGGCTGTGTTGGCTGTGCTGGTTGTGCTGGGAGTTACTGGGGGGCCTCTCCACCACCACGCAGCCCTGTGGTGACTTGACGCCGCAGTGTGGCGGCGAGCTCAGGCTATTCTGCTGAATCATCCCGCAACTGCCAGGGTTGACGGCCGCCATTTGCTGGCTCACGGCGCAGCTGCTAGGGGGGATGGTGCCGTACGAGCAGCTGTTCTGGGAGGGGCCCGCGCCGCAGATGCTGCCCCCCATGGTGGAGTCATAGCTGCTGGGATTCTCGTAATTCTCCGTGGTGCTCTCGATGCTACCTAGGTCGCTGAAACCGCTGTCCACAACCTGCTGTGAGTGATCCGACACCGATGGCACGTCCATCATGGGGCTGGTCTCCATATTGTGGATCGAGGGCACTGATATGGCGCTGTGGTCTGGGCTTATCTGCGTGTAGCCACTCTCCAGGATGGAGACAGCGGGGCTGCTGACCGAGCGTACAGACTGGCTGGGATGGGACTGCGCGGAGGAGAGGGGGCTGCTGTGGTCCGACTGAGGGCAGTCGTCCAGCGGAGTGAGCTGAGGACTTTGCGTCACGTGGGCGTAGGTCTGCAGATTCCTGCAGGGTTCCTGGCTCTCGGCGCAGTCCTGGAACACCGTCTCTCCCTCACTTTCCTGCGTCAGCGACTGAACAGCTTGGACCGTCTCTGAGTCAAACTCTGTGCAGACGGGGGGATCCTCTCTCAGCACGGGGCTGAGCGCAGATCTTCCTATGGGTGGAAGAGGTGGGTGGTTTGGACCAGGGCTGGGCGCGCTTTCCTCCTCAGATTCAGAGTCTGCTGGGTTATCAGAGTCTGGTGGAGCTATGGATGCAACTGCTGTTGCTGCCGGAGGTGAAGTTTCTGCTGTAGTTTCTGGCATTGCATCCTGCAGTTTATCTACAGCACTAACCGGTACCTCTTCATTGCAGGATTCTTTGGAAACCTGCTGACTTAGTTCAGAGCCGTCATCTTCTTTTGGATCTAAAAAAGCCTGAGTGACATTTGGTGCGCCTTTCAAACTTTGCTCTGATTCTTCTGTGCCACCCTCAGGCGCCGCCTTCTTGCTGTGACGTTCATCTTCATCATCAGCATTCTGATCCTCTATAAGAGTTCTCTGCTCCTCCTCGTAACTTTCTTCATTGCTGTTCTCTGGCGATGCAGCCCTCTCAGAACTGTCCTCCATGTCTTTGGCTGGAGAATCAGGATCATGACCGCTATCCTGCTTGTCATCCCCTGGCGGTTCTGGTGAGTCAGTTCTGTCCTCAGGCTGTGGGGAGGGAGCCTCAACAGAAAGAGCAGGTGAACACGCTGGCGAAGCAACTGGTGACCCTTCAGGGGAGCTTGATGTCTGGGAGCCATGATCAGCAGGACTTGGGGGGTCTGAGTGGAGCCCCTCCTGCATTACATCTGGACTGTCCAAGGACCCTCCTGCTTTTGTTTCCTCGTCGCCACTGAATGACTCCTGGTCCGGTATGTGTTTTGTTTCCTCAGTGCGAATGTGATGCTGCTCTGCCTCCATGGGTGTTTCTGGTGGAGTGTAGAGATTCAGCTTGAAGCTGTTCTTGAGCCTCCATTTAGGAGGGCCGCGCTTGACCCCCTTGGGCCAGCCTTTCTTCCGTTTCACTGGACGGGGTCTGCTGGATCTCTTTGAAACCAGTTCGGGTCCTGCAAATTAAAAAACAAACATCAAAGATGTCCCATCTCTGAATTTTTAGCAGGTTTAAAGGACAACTTTTTAAAATTAATTTAAAACCTTAATTTTAAGACATTTTAAAGACTTTTTTTGAAACTACAAATATTTGAAATTCTAACCTCTAACAGATCGTCCACATTTGTAAAGAATGATTTTTAAGTAGAAGCAAATACCTTCACTCCAGCGCTCAAGATTGTCTTTGCGTGCATTTTTGTCAAGCCTTGGACGGCCTCTTTGCCGTTTCATTGGTAAAGCTGATATCTTGTACTTTTGCATCTCTTCCTCCTCGTCATCATCATCATCATCGTCTTCATCGTCCTCCATCTCTCTCATCCTGGAGGTGTGCTCCAACCGGGGCATTGGACGCTCATCCTCTGAGTTGTCAAACGGTTCGTTCAGAACCTCGGTCGTCTCAGAGATTGTTTCTGTCGTTACGCTGCTGTTGATTCGCTTCCTTTTACGCCCTCGCTTCTTGAGAACCGCTGAGCTCTGAAAGATAAACAAACCAAACATCACATATAAAAGTTAAGTAAAATTGTTTAATTTCAATTGGAGTTACAATTAACCTGGGCTTTCAGACTGAATGTTGTGAAGTAGGAGGACTGAAATTTTCAAAGCTTGAAATATTGTTTTATCACCTAACTCTGGTCATTGTCAACCAGTCTTGCATGTTCTTGTGCTAATCTTCTCCACTGAAAACCAGAGGCTTTTGCTACAGGTGGATTGATACAGAAATTAAATTAAACAAGTAGGATCTATTTATTGAACTGAATTTCATGTATGGGTATTGGAATAAAATGGACTGAATACAAATCCACATCATACTTTAAAACTTCATTTTCATTCTGCTTTACAGTTATGCACTACTTTAAGTTGGTCTATAACATAAAATTTAGTTAAAATACGTTGAAAAGTTACCTCACAGATGAACCCACATTTGTGAGTTTAATATGGGAAAATATAAGTAGACTTCAAAGGGTTTAAATTTATTTTGAAAGGTACTTTAACATAAAAATCTTCAGCTGTACTTCAGATTGCGTGATTAAAGTCACAGCAACTGTAGATTTTTCAAATGTTGTAGTTTTAGAAGAATGATAAAAGTTACCAAATATAATATAAATTAGACATTAAAAGCATTACAATGGCATTAAAATCTGTTAACTGAGAAAATAGTTCTATTTCTGGGAGTTATTGCATGTCTAGCTCCTGTTCTTTAGTTTCCAAGCATGCCACTGAAAATTCTGTTTTAAGGGCCACAGAGCAATTTCCTTTCACCCTTCCCCATACTCTGCAAAAACAAACAAACATAAAAAACAGTGTTACCCTATTCCATTAGAAATGTTGGGTAAAGGGCTAAGAATGACAGCTGAGGAGTGAAATGAGATCCAGCGTGAAAAGCAATGCAGCACAGTGTGGAAAACCACAAATGAGAAAGTCAAGAGTAAGCAGACCACAGTCTATATTTTACATTCTTCAGTTGTTTCCCACTGACTTGCCTGCG